AAATATTTTCAAAACGACAGTGGCTGTGCAAATTTGAATAATTTGCACATACAAACTGGATAACTTAATCTTAAAAAATAATTAAATTCCCTGTATTTAAAAAGTAGATACAATAACGGCAACAGTAATAATCCGCTGTTCAATAGTCATAATTCGATTAAGCAAAAACAAATCCGGGTAACAAACTAAAACGAGGGAAACACATCAACTAGAAGAGGAAAAAAACGGAACAACAGAAACACTGAACTACAACAAAAGCAAACGCCAACATACATAGAAACATATTCACCATTGTACACTTGTTGCCATACATAGAATAAGATTTTCAGTGGTCAAAACTCGTTTAAAATATGAGTCTGTTAAACTTGATGATTGTACTTTCTATACTCTGGTAGAATATAATATCGCAAGCTTGACCGTGGATTAAAGAAAGTCTCTATTGATAAATTTGATGTGAGGCAACAGTAGTTTACTGATGTTGAAACCTCATTTTGAATAATAAAAAATCAAGACAGAAAAAAAAACCCGAACAAAATCTGCATTCCACAAACAGGTCACTATAGGGAATACGCCACAATTGGTAACTTTACATTAATGAGTAATTTATTCCCTGTATGTAAGAAAGTGTAGGTCAAACAGAGTAGTTGGTGTGCTCCTTTTGGTATCTATGATGAGTTTTGTGTAATTTCTAAAACTTTTTTCATGTTCTGAACATACATTTGCCACTGTCCAAGCAGGAGAAACTGTAAATTTTATTTTTTTACATAATACGATGCTTCTTAAAATGTTATTCCATGTGAAAGTAAGGAGTTAATGTATATATGTGTTTAATTGAGGCCTGGAGCTGGCATGTCAGAAACTGCTAGTAGTCCTTTGTTAATTTATGTATCATTATCATTTTACTTAGTTTCTTTTGTTACCTATTCTGACATCAGACTCTGACTTCTTTTAAACTGAGTTTTACTGTGCGTATAAATGTGTGTTTGTTTATTCTACATTGGCTAGAGGTATAGGGGGAGGGTTGAGATCTCACAAAACATGTTTAACCCAGCCGCATTTTTGCGCCTGTCCCAAGTTAGGACCCTCTTGCCTTTGTTAGTCTTGAAGGTTTTTTAATTTTGGTTCATTTATATGTTTTGGAATTTAGTGTGACGTCCATTTTCACTGAACTAGTACACATTTTTATTTAGGGACCAGCTGACACCCGCCAGCGGGTGCGGGATTTTCTCGCTGTGTTGAAGATCCATTGGTGGCCTTCGGCTGTTTTCTGCTCTTTGGTCGGGTTGTTGTCTCTTTGACACATTCCCCATTTCCATTCTCATTTTTATATGATAAATGCAAGACCAAAGTGTTTCTCTTCGCACATCATTACTGACACTTTAGGAGTCACAAGATCTTTCACATGATGACAATAGTCGGAAACACTATTTTGCGGTAAGCAATATAATCAGCTGCTGTAGAATCTAGTTTTATAATATTTCAAAATTTCAAATCTTTTGCACGTGTCAATAGGTTCGATTGGGTGAATGATACTTGATCTAGTTTTATTTGTAGTTTTTTGGACTGTTTGTCGATTCCTTTTTTCATGGAGAAATCTCTTTTCCTTCGACTTCTTTATATTGACATTAAGCTTTTAGAATCTTCTCCCCTTTTTAACGAACAGTATACAATTTAAACAGTTCATACATTAATGGACAATAGTTTGACAAAATGTAAAACATTGAAAAAAAAAGTTAACTGACGACCTTGTTTATGCTTGAAACAATAAACAAATATGGCAAACAGCGACCAACCAAAAACTACTGAGTCAGAGGCTCCCTCCAATGGATTTGGTGTAAAGACGTCATTCTGAGAAATTGAAAAGAAAAATGGGTCATACTTAATCAGGCAAAGTTGGCCATCTAATTCTATAGATTTGGTTATTCGTTTAGGATCCTTTTGGTCATATAGATCTGCAAGTGTTTAGGTAATTTTAAATCATTAACTTTCACCTTTAAGGGTATGAACGTTCCTGATGAAGGTAAATACAAAAAAGCTTTTCGGACACAGCAACTTTATAAAGTGAATTTCTAATTGTCCAGAGTGGAGACATATCATATCACATGAGCTATAGTAATGGGATCTTTTTCTGTGATAATTTTTCCTGAAATATTTACGATGTTTAGACAACCTTACGAGTGTTTTTCTTCAATAAATAATGAATAGACGAACAAAGAAGAATAAATAATCTCAATAGCATCCAGTGATTTATCAAATAGCAATTTCCTTATAATGGATTTTGGATTTTTTATGTAGAAGAAATTGTTTTGAAAACATAACATAGTTTAAACATAACATAAGTTTTGATAGACGCACACAATATATCTTCAATATTAACAGAAAGATGGTTTTCTTAGAGTATTAAATGAGTATAATTGTCTTCGCGACTTTAGTCTTATTATAATTAATGATTGAATAAAAACAATAGCAGACACAATAAAGAACGTAGTACAAAATATGATTACAAACGCAGGACAAATTTGTCAAACGGTTTGACATATTTTTATAAGTTTGGCGACAATTTTATGATTAAGACGCAGATGTGCAATGTAATAAACTTAGGAAACGTTTTGTTTTGCTGAAATGTCACTCCTGCCGAGTCATGTAAATTGAATGAAATTTATCTTTTACCTATGATTTATTTATCTTTATAACGCAAAATCACCGTAATAAATAATATAGGATTAGCGGTATTGCTAAAAACACCATCCCACGTATGCATGTCAATGAAAAACTTATATATGTCCGACTGTTCGTACATTATTTTCCTTTTTAACAAATGTATTGAACCATGAAATGCCATTGAACAAAGGTTACTGGTTTGCTTTTGGTCAACACGTATTCATTTTTTTCAAAATGCAATTCATTGAAAAATGTAAAAAACATTTATATTGCTTCATATTGATAGTTCGAAAATCAAATATTTAAAAATGGACTTAATGTTTTAACAGGCTCCCTAGAAATAACTTGGTCATCAAAATTCTGAATTCCCTTTTTTACTTTTAATTTATTGAAATGTTAAAGCATCATGTAAACTTAATTATTTGTATAAAGACTATTAAAAACTTGTCAGTTAAAATGATCTATGCAAGGAACACTATACAAAACAAAACTATTGCAGAAACCTACTTTTAAAATTTTATATTAGGAAAAAATAGCTAGGATCTCATGGATAATGATTTTATATTTTAACCCTGCCTTTGTAAATATATTAATGTAATGCATATCATTTTATATGTGTACTTCTTGGCATCATTTTACTTTGGTTTAAGAGAATAACGATATTATAATGTATCAAAAAACATATCTCAATATTGATCTTGAAGTCAACTTTGTGTTTTGGTCTACGTCAAGAGAATGATAGTGTTGACAATTTACTATAATATTTGTATGCTTCATGTATTCAAAATCCAAAAATAATTTAAATGGATAATAACTTAGTAAATGTATACTATTTACAAGTGAGATGCCTCTTTATCATCTTTACCACTAGTCACAAATAGCAATTACAGATGAAGGTCGAAAACAGTGACAGTATGCGTGATTTTTCAACATGTGGCTTTATCATATTTTGAGCCAGTTTGAAAGAATAAAAATTTCAACATTTTTTTAAAAAAATGCAAATATTTAAAAAAAATACAAAAATACATTTGCCTAGTAATTATATAAATATATCTGGTCTTGAATTGTTATGTAATAAAATTAGTAATACGTCGGTACTGACATGATTTATAACTTTGTTTTTGTTCAGTTCTCCTTTGATAAATTAAGAAATTATTTAAAAACTAAGGTTCCAACTCTGTAAGGAAAATTTGACCCTAGATGGACCAATCTGTTCTTTTGATATGCCTTTTGTTCATATTATATCACTTATCACCCTATCATGATTTCCTTGATAGAGGGTTGCTGCTCACAGGGAAGCTATTAAACCAAGAGTTCCAGATGGCGAAGTTGAAATCATCCCTTCGTAAATTTTACGGACGCCATCACGAGTTGGTTGACCGTTATGGAATATCTGTTTCACATATTACAACGGATATCTTCCAATTGTCGTAACTACAATCCCGTCCCCTTTCCCCGAATGTGACCTGCCGAATTCGACTTATCACCGGGTGTGTACTAACATGACCAACACGACGGGTGTCACATGTGGAGCGGGATCTGCTTACCCTTCCGGAGCACCTGAGATCCCATCGTTTTCGTAAATCGTTTATCTATCATTACGTCTTTCAAAAAAGGCAAAATAGTTTCCTTATCTTATGTTCTAAGCTAGTAAATAAATTTGGAAAAGATCAACCAAGAGAAAGAGAAAAAAAAAAAAAAAAAACTAGCCGTGCGAATCCAGTCTCAGTAAAAACAATCATGTATGTAATGTTCATTATGTAAAAATAAAAACGTAAACACATCGAAAGGAAGAATCGACTGATAGATTATTTTGAAGCAACCAAAGAAATACCACTTTAAAGAAACAGAAAAATGATCCAAGTAGTTGATAAATGATAAATATAAACATAAACTATATTTCAAACAAATTGATATATTTTTTTGCTCAAACTGTAACGCTCTCTCTTCTAAGCGACACAGATACGTTTTTTTTAATTTAATTTTTTAGTCGTTAAAGAAAAATTATTGAGATTGCATTTTGATAAACACGTGTGTACAGTATATCAGAGTGCAAATACTACTACTACTATATTGTTCATATTGTTTATTAGTTATCGAAGTTTTATATCCGCCCCTTCTAATAAGTGACTGCATTTGTGTACAGATATCTCACTTATGTACATACATCCTTATACGTCATTTGTTTAGAGTGGAAGGTAATTAATCAGTTCAAGACGTAACACACAACCTTGTACTGTTTCATAAGAATATTGCCAATTAATTAAGTCGAGTGCCGTAGGCGGAATACATCAAGTAATAAAAGTATCGTTTAGCTGGAAGTTAAGGATGTTTTGTGACTGTACAATCCCATAAGAAGATGTCTGGTATCGTTTAACAATGATAAAAATGAATAAATTTGAGCCAGGCTATTACCCCTTCATTTAACCTGGTTGTAAGGTAAGTTTAATAAACCTTTTGTGATAAATGTCAACGATTCTAGCTAATAGTCTTCATTGTGAATAAACTCATCCATCATAGATACAAGTATTGAAATTTTGTAAGCCAGACGCACGTTTCGTCTACAAAAGACTCATCAGTGACGCTCGAATGAAAAAGTTAAAAAGGCCAAACTTTAAGGTGAAGTATAGTAATGATAGCGTATTGCTTTGCTGTGGGATTTCTAAGTGCATACACGAATTTAGATTTAAATCAAGAGCTGTGAAAATAACGCTTTGTATATTTGGTGTGTCCGAAACTCTTTTTATGGATATACCTGAGCAGGAACTCCAAAACCTCACTAATTGAAAGCTAATGATACTTATTCCAATACGCGAGGAGTTTCATGATTAGAATTAACATACACAGATTATCCAATTATATGCAAGGTCAATTTTGCCTAAGAGAGTCGGAAAATTCGTTTCTTAATTATTTTAGATTTATCAATGTTAGAAGATTAATTTCAAAAACTTTAAGCCTTATAAAAATTTAATATACTATATGTTCGTAGGTTATTCGACTTTCACGAACGATCACATCTTCAGCAAGATTCAACTTATGAGCAGAATATTTGAAATCCTAAATTCATTTCAGTTGGAGAAATCAGTAATAATAACTGAATTTAAGAATTTGCCTGAGGTAGTTAGAACTCTAATTTCTAAATAATTTCTAAATTTACCAGCGAATATGTTACAGCACAAATTGAAATTAAGAAGGATCCAGAATCCTCTTACTATAAATCGGAATTCCAATATCTACTAGTAGAAATTGGAATATCCAGGTTTATACTAGGATGGTTCTGGATTGTATTAAATTTCTTATAGGACCCATGATATTACCCAACACTAGTTAAAATATGATTCTGTATTCTATTCTATTTATTTTAATTATTTTTTATTGAAAAGACGAAAAACAAAATGAATGAGATATAACTGCCACTTTCAATACTTTATTACAAGAACAATATGGTAAATTAAATAAGCTTTCAAATATATCCTTTATTTATAATAATGATTACTTATATTTTGTTTATGGTATTTGGATAAGCAAAGCATTTTGACAATACAACATGAAGAGAGTTCAGTGAAACAGATTTTACGTAAATTAACAAGCTGTCTTCTGAATATTAATTTTGAGACATACAATTGAAATTGTAATTGAAAATTTTATATGTTCTTGTTAAATTTTGTATCGATAGACATCATTGAGATAAATGAGTTAATATCTATCTAAAAGATAATATTTAAAATACCTCCAACAAACTTGTGGTTTTTGTTAAGAATGTCTTCAATATAAGTGAAAATTTGCAAAAAACTGACATTTGTAACTATATATAGGTATTCATTATTTGTTCTGACATACATTTCACTATTAAATTGTTGTTAAAACCTTAAAGTACATAATATGAACTTGTGATACTGTGACGTTTAGAAACGATTGAAGGACTTTTTGAAAAAAGGCTCTGCTAAGAAATAAAATCATGGAAATTGGTCCTGCCTTTTTCTTTTTGATTCATACATGCTTGACTATATTAGTTTATTTCGTTATGAAGAAAAACAAAATGGAGCTTGTAAAAAGTCTTTTTCTGTAAACATCCAATTGCTCAGTCTTTAGTTTTCTATGTTGTGTTTTATGTACTGTTGTTTGTCTGTTGGTCTTTGTATTTTGTGCCATGGCGTTGTCAGTTCATTTTGGACTTATGAGATTGAATATCCCTTTGGTATCTTTCGCTTCTCTTTTTTGATTAAAATGCATGATTTTTATTGTCCAATAATGGACCCTGAAGGGGCTTTTACGTATTATTTAGAATACCAGTATCGTTTTAATTGTCTATTTACTATCAACTACGAAAACCTTTTAATTGGCGTCTTTGTTTTGTCAAATTTACTATCAACTACAAGAACCTTTTTGTTGGCGTCTTTGTAAGATTTATTTGTATGTTTGTTTGAATGTTTTAGTCAGTTGTGTTATATGTCTGTGATGTATGTTAACACAGTTTTGGCTGCTGGATCCCAATTATTGTCATCTTATCCTAGTATGTCTGTTTGAGGTGCTAACCAAATTTTGTCAAAATTAAAAATACACAAAAATACCGAACTCCAAGGTAAATTCAAGAAGGGTAGTCCATAAAAACATACATATTCAAACCTTAGACTTTATCACCCAAGGGAACGAATGGAAAACAAGTCTCATACCTCTGACTTTTTTAAATGCCTCTAATTTAATACTAAACTTACAAGAATTTATAAATCATTGGTACATAAAATTCGTTACCTCTAAACATGACTGAACGGAAGAGTCCAAGCTAAATTAGTTTTCAATGCAAATGAGAGACGACACCATTACTTGTAGGAACTATACAGAAACAAAAAAAAATAATATACTAGTACCACAAAAGGCAACACTCATGAATAAAGCAAAGGACACGCAAAATCTTCTTTAAACAAATAAAGGTTTAGTTCAAATTCAGCAATGTCATAAAGTCAAAAAAGGGAAGAATTGAGCCTATGACAGAGGAAATATGTTTGTGATCATCTATGGCACATATATATATGATAGCTGTCAACTACAGAATGATGGCATCCGCAAACAAATCAATTAAGAAAGCTAAATTTTGTTATAAAAAGTGATTGATAGTCAAAGTTTGTTATTTATTGAAAAACATTGTTATTGTACTTTTCATTCCCAAATTCATAAAAATGTAATTAACGACAAAATCACGTAAAACTGAAATAAATATATTAATATATATATATATAGATTGACGATTTTGTACTTTTCACCTATTACTCATAATTTGTATTATGTTTTGGATGGGCGTACTGCAGGATTGAGGAACATTTTATAGTTAACATCTTTTTACGAGCATATCATTACAATATTGAAAAATTCACATAAAGATTTTTGAATTCCAATAAAAAAATAAATTATTTATAATATTCGATGAATAACTATAAACGCCAATGCATCCTTCTCATGGTCCTAGCCGTAATTGTATTTTTGATGTTCTAACACATTTTTTGTAATGATTGATTAAGAACAAGTGATGGAATTCGATATTCTTTTCAGATGGGCGGTGTTTTCTGGAGTTGAGCTTTCGCATCGGTTTGTATTTGATTTGTCTTTGTATAGATAATTCTTAAGATTCCTTTTCCATGTTTCCCAGCTATTTCTACATGCTCTCAAGAAAAAAAATCTGATATTTTAACTACACTCAGGAAATAATGTGATTGGTAATAATCTGCTTTCTTAATGTCAAAATCTTACTTCATTCTATTTTTTTATAATTTAATTGATCGTTTTTTCTTTTATTTTCAGATAATGTTTTTGGATACGTAGATTTACCGAATTAATTGAAAGGAGACAAATCTGAAGAAAAGAACGCTACCGAATTAAGATGAACAGAATAACAAGAGTATACTTGTATTTTACGACTTGGGTGTCCTTGGCTTTTATTGCTATAATCCTGAACGTTATAAATGTGGATTGGGAAAGAACCAACTACATAAACGGAATTATTATTGTAGTTGTCCTTGGTATTTTACAAGGCAGCGTAATGGAATTTCCTACTCAAACAATGGCCACTCTCTTGATAGGAGGCGATAAAAGACGATTAGATAAAGCTAAATCCGACAGATTGACAATAGCTCTCAATTACAATTTATTAGCAATGAGTAGAGATGAAATAGACGAATGTATGGAAACAATGTACGAAGCTTACATGGGAAACCTTAGCCCCAATGTGTCCGCTGTTTTAGTAAGTGCAACGGGCGACGAAAGTTTAAAAGACTACGAATTAGAAGTTCGAGACCGATTCAGATCCGCCATTTTCGATGAACTGTTTCATGAAGGATCTTGTTTCGCAAAAGATGATTTCCAATCTATTGATTCCATCCGTTTAGAGAATGTGTGGAGTTTGTATGGAGACGTGGATAAAACATTATTCTTTCACGAATATTTACATGATATCTGTGATCGATATGCTAGAGAATATATGGTAATACACCGGGTAAGTCGGGTGCTGAGAAAATGTGGTCAGTATCAAGACCTGATGCTTTTGTCTGAAGGCGAAGACGAAGCATTCTCATACTGTGATCCATTATTTTATGGCAAAGGTGCTAGAAATGAAGGCGAACAACTGTTTTATGATTCGGATGACGTCAAAAATATATTTGGTAGAAAATTTGATTATACACTGGTATTAGACGGAGATACTGGTGTTCCGAAAAAATGTGTCTTCGATCTGTTAGACATTGCCGCCGCCAATCCAGAAAAAGGCATCATTCAACCGTCGATAAAAATTCATTGTCAACCGACGGATACCATATTCATGCATATTGAAACAATACGCCAGCAAATATATGAACCAATGACAAATGCTGTCATGGAATTATTAGGACAATCAGCTTATTTTGGCAAAGCACTGCTTAAAAACAGAATTTACATAGATAATGTTATTGGCAGCAGAGATCATCCAATTGAAAGAGTTCCGATCGATGTTCTCAGTCATGACACATTTGAGGCTGCCATTTTAAAACCGCTTTATGCAGGATCAGTCTGTCTTCTCGAAGCACCGTCATTAAATTTTGTGACATGGAATATTCGTGAACGTCGATGGAACAGGGGAGAAGTTTTGCTAGCTATGTATTTTTGGAAAAATGGCATTGGAAAGCCTATGCGATGGATTAAAAAGAAAATTCAGGGAGAGAACTTTAATTCAACCAAACTGAGAACAGAATCTACCCTGAATTTTGCTAGCAGTTACATTGCCTATTCAGCACTAAGACAAATGGTAATGAAACCATTGCTTATGTTATATGTAATTATTCACATCTCGGTACATTTACGTTATAGATATGCGTCAATTATTCTGATTATGTTTCTCGTACTAGTGTTCCCAAAATTTGCAACATGCAATAGACATAATTATAAATATGTTTTGCTGGAAACGATCGCATCGATGTTCCAATTTACACCTGAAGCTATGGTAGGCTGTGTGAGAATCTTTAAGGCTGTACAAGCAAATCTTGCAGCGAATGTTAAATGGATTCCTCAAAGGGCAGTGGAAGATGAGTTCAGAAATAGCAATCCATTTATATCTAGTTTCCATCACTTATGGGGATATTCTCTATTTGCATTAGTATGCGGAGTACTTGTGGTTTTATTCATTCCTCGAGCAATGTTGATTTTAATCATGTTGACAACTTTATTTATACTTCCTCTTTATACCGGAATTACCTCACTTCCACTCCAGTCTCCTCGGAGTAATAATGATGACACCTCTTTTTTAAATGGAGACAAAGAAATTGCCATTAGCGACGCCGAAATGCCAGGGACGTATAGGAGTGTTGACGGAGGCGTCATCAACGAAGGTTTTAGTAAATATTAAAGAGAAAAATAAACAGAAACATAAATTGAAATCCAGAATTATATCAATTAAACTATGTGTTAATCAAACCATTAAATGTTAATAAAACTATTTTTTACATTATCGACATATTCAGTTGAAATCCATTATATTGTATGTACTAAAAAGTGTGTCGGAATGTGATAGTAATAATAATTTTCATAAATGTCACTTCAAATCGGTAATTATGTCAGGCAATGATTAATTTGAAGTTTGATATTGGAATTTCTGTCTTAGTTCGGAAAAGACAATTGTCGAATAGATTTTCAAATAATTTTCATGTTTGTTCTTCTTACATCGAACGTTTTTATTATATCACATAGTATCATGGTCTAAATGATAATAAGAAATATTGAAAATCAAAATCAAAACTAGAAATAGAAGGCTTCATAACTGCTTAAAACAAAGACGTATAAATATTTTCAGTGGACTGAAAAGGTCTTATTAAAATATTTGAATACCTACCTTCGAAATAGAGCTTTCTCATTTTAGTCAATTCTCGTCATTAGCGCCTTGTTAAGAAAATAAGAAAAGAGTAGTTATGATGAATGAAAACGTTGGATTTCAATGAACGTAATTAATATAATACTGGTAATTTATTAAGTCATGGATTTAGTTACCACACATTACTTAGAACCTTTTCTAAATTCTTTCATAGATATAAATATTTAGATTGGAAGTTTGATAGTAAAAATTTATTTTAAACGGGATAGCACAGCCTAATTTTACGGTGATTTGTTACCGAGCCCGTAAATTTAGATACGATCCGTGTAAACTGATCTATCCTTTAAGAAAACGTATTATAAAAGGTTACCAATTTAATACTGCAATTAGATCTTTGCATAATGTGTTTTAACTTTATATATATTTATGTATAGATATTTATTTTGTTGTCAATAAATTAAAACCCAAATAAATATTATGTTGTTTTTTTTTTGCACATGTAATTATTGTGATAGAGTTTAATAGCAGTGCATCATAAATCTTTAAAGGCTGGCTGATATGTAAATACTGTACTTAAATATGTTGAAATATTATGTAATATCAGTTTGCACTATAAATTGAATATATATATATATAAGTACGTCTGAACCAGTGAAAACTCTACAACAGATTTATCCATCGGATCACCAGCAGTGATGGTGATACATGGCTGTGTACATTCTTTATATACAACTCGTCTAAACATTAGCCCAACAATATTATATCTGTAAATTTGCTTTCGCAAATATTTTGTTCTTTCCTCGCCGGGATTCGAACTCATGCTACTGAGATATCGTGACACCAAACCGAAAGCTTCTGAAATATTTTTATTTTATACCTCTTGATTTAAATCAAGAGGTTATAAGAACAAAAATATTTCAGAAGTTTTCGGTAAAGCAAAAGAAAAAGACCGAACAAACCAACTTGAATACAAAGAAAAGACGGCCCAGACAAATAAAATCCCGTTTGTTGTTAGCTTTCATCTTGACCTGACAAATCTTTCTTCTATTGTCCACAAACACTGGCGTCTTATTGAAAATGATCCTACCTTTAAAGAGATTTTTCCATCACCTCCCGTCATGGCTTACCGCAGACCCAAAAACCTCAAAGATATTCTAGTAACATCCAAATTATCTAAACAGGAGGTATCGACAATAGAAGGTTATAAACCATGCGGAAGGGGCAATTGTAAGTGCTGCAAAGTCGCCAACATCGAAACCCAATTCGTCAGCACAGTCACAAAGAAAAAATACAACATATTTATAACATCAAATTGCAAAACGCAAAATTGTATTTATGTTCTTACGTGTGGAACATGCAAGTTGCAATATGTTGGTGAAACAGAAACACCATTTAACATCCGACTAAATAACCATCGGTCATTTTATACAAAAGAAAGAAACTGCCCAATCACAAGACATCTTTGAAGAGCAGGACATGATTTTGAAAACGTCACATTTAAAATCATTGAGAAAAACCAAATTGGGATACACAAGGTAGACAAAAGAGAGAGAGAGAGATTTTGGATGCACCAGTTACGAACTCTTGAACCTGATGGACTCATTGAGAGAGACGAAAAAAGATTTAAAAACAAATCAAAACAATAATCTTGAAATCATACAAATTAATTTATAGAAATTCATACAATTTTTAGAAATTCATACAATTTATCGAACATCAATAAATATGTTAAACTTTTACTCCAACTTTATGTAGTTGAAGCTACAAACATATATTTTTTATAGAACATCAATAAATTTTGTTAAACTTTTACTCAAATTTTGTGTAGTTCAAGCTACAAAAATATTTTTTTGTCATGCATCCGATTTCACCTTGAGAGATGCACCAACCTGATGAAGCTAATTTGTTTAGCGAAATATTGCGTATTTCTATTTAAAATCTAATAGAACTTTTTAATGTATTAATTAGCGTGTTTAAGTTATATTCTTAGACATTTATATATATATATATAAAAAATGACTGAATAATCGCCAACGATAAATCTTACGGGGCGATGGATCTTATAATTATGATACAGTACACTACAAAATATAATATATAACAAGTCAACATCACCAAAAAATAATAATAAAATGAACAAATGTTAAATATAACGGATAACAGATATTCTTCATGCCCAAGCTGATCTCAAAAAACTTACCATCACGATCATAGACCACAACGAGGGTTGGTCAAGGGCCGACAGACTTGCTCGGGAAAGGTTTTTGATAAGAAAGCTAAGGACAGTTTCCCAAGAGGGCATAAATGAAAAAAAGATAGAATGAGTTACTCTTTTTCCCTACCATCACTCATTTTCCTACCATCACTTGTTTCCAGTAACTCGGCATCCGTACTGGACTCTTACAGTTTTAAGGAGTTTTTGAATTATACCAGTTTAAATTACAGGGTTCTATTCATTTGGGAGGGATGTACAAGTACGCAGTCACGTTCAATTATTTAACCTTATTCAAAATTTATTATTATTTTTTTAATCATTATCAAACTGCTATTTATTTTGGATCTTTAAATACGCAGCCTCTGTTTTAATTACTCTACCGTTGTCAAATTTGAAATATTATACCAGCTTAGATCGGTCTTTCGTTTATTGTGTAATGCTTTGTTCATAAATTAGGCTTGTTTTTTCGTTTTAATTGTTTTACATTCGTCAGTTGTCTGTAATTATTTCAGGATCTAAACTAAAATTCCTGTTTTTGATTAGGGTCAAAAGTTTGTCCTGCACACTTAAAATAATCACTATTTCAACATAGCTGTATTTTAATACCTTTACAATATAATAAAGAAAACAAGGCGCACTAATCAGAAAAATTTACAAATATTATGTACATTGTTTTGTACGCAAAAAAGCCCTCAGTTTTCCCGTTTGATTTGTGTTACATCTGTCCTTTTGGGGTCTTTTCTAACTAACTATGCGGTAGGGATTTACTCATTGTTCAAGGCCATACGATGACCTAAATTTGTTAGTTTTTACGTCATTTTCTCTATGATGGAGAGTTTTCTGTTTAGCAATTATGCCACATTTTCTTATTTCTATATTATTTAATAATGTAAGAACTTTCCCCTTAATAAAACAAAAGAAGAGAATCACATGTTTAAAATGGTTCGTGTAAAATTGGTATATAATATTTTATGCGATCACATTATTGAAGTAGGTTCTTTCCAAGAAGAACAAGAAAAAATCACCAAGAACAAATGATAATATGAGGCAAGGATTCACACCTTTTTGATTAAGTCACCAAGTCACCAAGGTTTATTCAAATAGAGTTATTCAGACACAAACACAAAGAAGACTCTAATTATTAATTGTTTAAAAAGGTGAAAAACATTTAAGGGATATTTTGTAAATATTTTTTCCTTTCATTTTATTTCTTATTCCATGATTATGCATTTTTCTCTTACATTAATATTGATAATCAGATAATATATTTAGCAAGGATATTTCAATAAACATATCTGAACTGATAGCATAAAACATATATTACTGTGGTTTCAACATAAAAGCGAATACAAATGGAGTATATATATCTCAGTTGATGCTATATTCTAAAACTTGCATTTCCTATCCTCATTTCCTTTATAGAGGGTTACTGCTCACAATGAATCTATAAAACCAAGAGTTCCAAGTGGTAAATTTGAAATAATTCCTTCGAAAATTTTACTGATGCCATCATTAGTTGGTTGACATTTATGGAATATCTGTTTCACAGATGACGACGGATACATTTCAAATGTTGTAACTACGACCCCGTCCTGTTTTCTCCGAATGTGACCTACCGAATAAGACTGATCACTGGGTTTCTACTGACATGAGCAATAAGACGGGTGCCACATGTAGATCAGGATCTGATTACCTTTCTTGAGTACCTGAGATAATCCCCAGTTTTGTTGGGGTTCGTATTGTTCAGTCTTTAGTCTTGTATATTGTGTTTTGTATACTTTTGTTAATCTTTTTGTTGTTTTTCGTTTTTTGCCATAGCGTTGTCATTTTGTTTTTGACTTATGAATTTGAATGTCCCTTTGGTTGGCCTCTCTTTCAGAACAACCGATTTCCCTCCTTGCTGTTTCTCATTCTAAAGTTTAAATAGATTGAAATAATCGTTCACTTTTAATTAAGGTAAAATTGGGGAAGGGGTAGAAGGTGGCGGGAAGGATATAAACTCAAAAAAAAAATAACTTTGCCCTGATGAAGTTTTATATCATGCTATGTTCAACTTTGAGAGTCACTGTATCCATCACCAGTCACATCTCAGTCCTTACAGCTAAAAGGACGTGCTGGATCAGCTCCTGTGTATCTGCTAACTACAAGATGTTACGCCGGCCGTATGGTTCAACGACACATTACACCATGTCTACAGCAACCTAACTCAACGACTTACAGTACAACAAAAAATGGTCCGCGTCAGCATGCACTTCAAAACCCATTGTGATTTAGTGAGTGATATGTCGCGTAGACGTCCGAGGACCCTGTATCCGAGGTATTCGGTAAAGGATTATTCGATCGTAACAGTAATAACTGGTATCTGTTGCAGGCCTTTTGGACAGGCTTCCAGTCCTGTAGACATCTAGAACTGTGTCCACGACTCATCCACCAGTAAAACGTCGACGTGGTTAGTGGGATGCCCAGCTGTTTATCAAGGCCCTGGAAACAGTCATTGTCAGGAGCAGCACTTCAAACCAAAATAGTCAACACACCAAATCGATCAAAACAAAATGACCGTCTCCTTCCAACTTTACGACAACAACAACAACGACATTCAAATGCTCACGAAACGCCTAAGGGCACCGAGCAGACGTGCGAGGGTTTAACAGCCAGTCAAAGTCGTTAAAAACCATAGTAATAGTAGTCACGGAGATTTTTTCAAGCCAAAGGTTATGCAAAATTGTCGGGTTTTGTATAAGCGGGAGGTTTGGCTAGACATAAAACCAGGTTCAACCCACCATTTTTTCTTAAAATGTCCTGTACCAAGTCAGGAATATGGCAGTTGTTATCAAATATATATATTATAGTTGATGTGTTTCCCTCGGTTTTGGTTTGTGACCCGGATTTGTTTCAATTAAATCGATTTATGACTATTTAACAGCGATATACTACTGTTGCCTTTATTTACAGTGCATTCTTTGATAACATTAGATTATCTGATAGATTCCTTCAGTTATTTCTTCTCACACGGGTAAGTAGAAAAAAAAAGAAATATTTTGTTTCATAAAAGCATTCATGATTATAAGTAAGAATATAAAATTTTCATCCTTATGGATGTACTAAGGTCAAAATGAAAAGTCTTACAAATGAATTGCATTCCTATCTTAACATTTGTACATTTTATTAAAGAACTAGACCAATGACTTTCTGCTATTATACAATCCAAGATGGCGAAAGACAACCGATCTACCTAAGAAAGGAAATTCTACGTAAATA